TTTTATTTTCAAATTTTTTGAATACAACCAGTCCGAACTGGAGTAAAATCACATTATAACGATAGAAACGACTGAAAATAAAAATACAAGCAGCTTTCACTGTAGCAAAAACTTTCAATAATAAGACTTTCTAGCATATTTGCTTGTTGATAGAAAGTCTCTATTCAAGCACCAGCAGTAATCAACACTCATGAGATAATTCCATTGGCTTTTTAATATTTAATATTTTGGTGGAATCTCAACCCTTGTTCTTCAATTAAATCACCTAAATTACTTGGAAATTCTTCAAGTTGGGTATCCCCCCCACCAAAAAAAAATCATTTTTACGCTCATATTTTACAGTTTATAGTTCCTTACAAATATTTTACGGTTCCTTTGTAGTTATCTTCTCTTTATATAAAAATGTTTCTACCAAGTCCACGAAGAGAACCAGGAATTTTTCACATTTATTCCTGAGATTAGGAAAATTGCTGTCTTTAATTAATATTCTTATTTGTGGACTGTCGAGGATTCCCGCCTTCACTTTATCATAACTTCAACTTGGAAATTATGAAGTTATGTATTTGAGACACAGTAGCCATTCGTATTTAAAGTTTTTAGCTATTGTTTAACGAGACCTAATTTGATACGCAAAGGAGGAAATAGGATTTTATTTCTGCTCACTAAAGGTAGATTAATTACATTTTTCCGACAGCAAGTAATGTTGGCGCTGGCCAGATCGGTTATGAAATAATGTTCTTCCCTGGCTCTGCTGCCTCATAAGCAAAAGAAGCAATGATATTTAGTATTGATTTTCTAAGCATTGCTTAGATGTGGCATAAGGCCAGAAATATGGGGCACCCAATGAGGATCGAACTCACTATTCAGTAGTAACAGTTTTTGCAAGACAAGCTTGCTAACCATTACACCACGCCGAGGTGCCCAAGCAATGATATTTAGTATACTCTCCTTGTTGTTCTAACAGAAAATTAACCGTTTTTAATTCAACGCATATGATCCACTCGTGTTCCCTATATTTGATAAGTTTTAAAACCTTTTCTATACCTTTATATATTTCTCTTAATTTTTTCGAGTGTCCCATCAGTGTCAAGCCGTAGAGATTGTCATTATGTATACACTTAAGACTTCTCGGTATAGATTGCCATTATACACACACACTTAAGACTTCTTTTCAAACTGCCTAGAAAAAAGCGCCAATCATTTGCATTGTAAGTCAACCGCATCTTCTTTAACAAACCAGTTACGTTGCAGTAATATACTAAACTATCATTTGTTCTAAAATATTTAACTTCTATTTTTTCTGTGAAACGAAATGTATGTGTTTGAAGTAAACAAGTTTGTCTCTAAGTATTGAAGATAAAATTTCCGCAGCCTTTTTTTGGCAAATATAGATCCGTTACAAGATTATTCAACTCGACCTAGAAAAACTTTTAGCGATCGTTTTTACTTTCAAATATGCTGAGGTAAAAATCGGTTTCTGACTCTTCAGAATGCATAACAATATTTTCAGGAATATCTTCAACAAATTCTTGTGTTGGCAGACCCTTAAATTTTAGAATACGGATCTCATTTGAATGTGGCACAGGTCGTATCGCAGTGTTAAAATTTAGGTACTCGATACAATGTTTAGTTTTCTTAGTGAAGCCCAAAGTCTTGACAAAGCAAACGTGGTTAGCAGGATCTCATTACACCTAATATGTAAATAAAGTAGTAAAACTTTTTAAAAAAAAAGCGAGGAGAGACATGTTCTTTTTTATGAATTTTATCAAACGTTATCACCCAAAGATTTAACATTTATATGCGTTTCAAACTTGTGCAATATTTGAGATTCTTATAAACATTATTTACATTAGTCGGACTATTGTCCTCATCTTTGTCGCCATATTTGTCACAACGTTTCGGCCGTTGTACGCTCCGGCCTTCTTCAGGTGGTTGGAATTTCGAACTGAACCCTTTATTTCGATCACTGGGGTAGACTGTTCTAGTTCCACGTGTCATGTTTGATGGATATGAGCAATATGAGCACTGGTAAAAATGATGCTGAAAACATTAGGTTTATAATACTCAGAAGTTCATGCCCAGATGTCCTCAAGGACACATGGCACAGTGGATAAAGGCGTTGGTTAGATCCAGTGAGTTCAATACCTGGTTAAGGCAGTGGAAAAATTAGCAGGAGATAACTGACATCCATCAAAACATGGAACTAGAACAGTCTATCCCAGTGATCGAAATAAAGGTTTCAGTTCGAAATTCCAACCACCGGAGCGTACAACGGCCCAAAGGTTGTGACAAATATGGCGACAAAGATGAGGACAATAGTCCGACTAATGTAAATACTGTACATAATACCTCATCTCAGAAATATAAACATTTTTTGAAAATTTTTGTTTATGCATCTAAGTTACAATTACATTTAGGCAAGTTACAGCATACTTAAATTACGTAGTTTTATGAAATCAAAAGCTTACTCTTAAAGTTATTTTTGGATGCGAACCCTTCTTCCACTGTCGCATATAGCATATAGTGCAGGCATTATTTAGAGCCCACAATTTATCTTTATACCCTAGTTTTATGACGAAATAAGATAAAGTCACTTATCGGTGATGTAAAATTTCCACATCATACAAAAGGAATCAAGATTGTTTTTGCATTTGAACTTTCTAGTTCTTGATGACATATTTCTTGATTGTTCTGCCAATTTGTAAAGGTATTTAAGAAAATATAAAATATAAATACAAACATTGGTTTTAAAATGAAGTTATTGTGGTATAAGTACTTACAGTCTATGAAATTAAACTAGAAACACGGATGAGTAGCTACAATATATACTACGTCTAATCAAATCAACTATTAAATCACGATGACCGAATTAGTCACTAAATCATAAGCCAATTCCAAATTATATTAAAGCTCAAACTTAATTAATACGGTCAGCACGTTGTGGGAGTTTTCATAGTTGATATTATTAAGTGTTGTTTTTTCTTTAGCTGAGGCTATTATGAAGGTATTTTATATGAGTATATTCCATAAAATGTTCGGTAGTTTTCCATATGGGTTTCAGTGGGTCCTTATTAAACTATTCTCTGAGAGATGTAACGTAAATCTTTTTGATAGTCATCTAGAGGTATGTCAAATATAATTATTCATGAATTTGGATTAGTTAAGAACGCAGTTAAGAATAATATTGGTCCCCTGTACATTTTACACACTTTATGTCCACAAAAGAAAACACTTGTTCGAATGCAATTGACCAACAAGCTTAATCGCAGTAGCATGCCGGTCATCTTCAATGAAACTTGTGTAAAAGTGGCACTGCTTGCGAAATTCACAATTAAACCTTATTTTAGTGGATATTCATATTTGAGTAGACGCTCCGTTTATTTTTTAAAGGATATATTTCTTTAATTTCGTATACCGGCTTGAATATTTGATAAATCTTATTAAATAAAATGTGTGCTTTCCGGCAGGATTCGAACATGCGTCTCACTGAGCGAATGGAAATGTCGATAATCACAATTACTGGAAAAAAACAAAAAAAAAAAAAAAAAAAAAAACAAAAAAAAAACAACTAAACTCCAGAAAAAAAAAAAAAAAAAAAAACTCTGCGAAGAATGTACTCGAGAGGATGGGAAACATTAGGGTCATATAAACAGAGCATAACGCTTAAATCAAAATAGTCCTCGACAATACCATACTCTTAAAGCAACCCCGCCAATATCGGAGCTTATAACTCTGTTATGCGGAAATTTGAGAGCACAGTACGGCCGAAATAAATACACGAGATAATGAAGAGCGATAGATAAATTGAGATAGATAGATAGATAGATCTTACTTATTATAAAACTAAGATTGTGTGTGTGTGTGTGTGTGTCTGTATGTTTATATATTGGATCGGATTTCCTACATTTTTCAACCGATTTCAACAAAACTTCACAGGACTGCATAAAATTACCTTGCGGTGGTTCTGACAGCGCCAAAAATTGGAAAAACACAATTGTCTTTGCACAAAATCAATTTGAAAACTCGATTCTGTTGCCAGAATGAAAGGGGGACAACTCATATCGTTTATACTTATAAAACCCAGGTTGTTTGTGTGTGTGTGTGTGTGTGTGTGTGTGTGTGTGTGTGTGTGTGTGTGTGTGTGTGTGTGTCTTCATTTACATAGGGTATCGGATTTCCTACATTTTTCAACCGATTTCAACAAAACTTCACTTTTTTTTGGCAGGTAGTGTTTCTCATTGTCTTGCAGACTTTTTTCTTTATTTTTACATTCAGAATGCTTTAAAAATTCCATTTACAAGACAATTGTTTATAATAAAATTCTGTTCAATTGATAGACTCATAATGATTGAAAACAATGTTTTTGTTTGAGTTTGGGTTTGAACAATTTGTAAAAAAACAAAACAAAAAAAAACTAATTAAGACATGCGTGTCCGTCAACCTTAAACAATAATCTTTGTCAATTTTATTTTTCAGTCTTTATGATGGTCGATACTTGATCTATCTCTTACTGTTACATCCCCGGGCAACGCCGGGTTCTACTGCTAGTAAATAAATAAATTTGGCCAACTATACAGATAGATAAATTGGATTAGTTGTATAGATAGAAGTGAATGGTAATAGTAGTATTAGCAGTTTCGCATAAATGTTGTTGTTGGTCATTTTACTATAACTATATATTGTTGGTCATGTTCTTATATGAAATATATTGCGTGTATTTTATTATAAATATGTACTTTTGGTAATTTTACTATAAGTAGATATTATTGGTCATGTTTTATATAAAAATATATTGCTGCTATTTTTTGCACAAAAATGTCATTTAACACTTTCATAGAGTTTGGCTTTTGCTTGCTTGGGGGTTCACTATTTTCCAACTGCTGGGGCGCCAACAGATGCTATCCCCCCCCGGGTAATGAAGGACATGAGAAGAACAGAAATTAAAACTTCCAATATCCCGATCAGTGTGGTTGCTGCCGGATGAAGTTTATCGTCATAACAAGGACTATAGATAGATAGATAGATAGATAGATAGATAGATAATGAAATATACAAGATAGATAGATAGATAGATAGATAGATAGATAGATAGATAGATAGATAGATAATGAAATATACAAGATAGATAGATAGATAGATAGATAGATAGATAGATAGATAGATAGATAATGAAATATACAAGATAGATAGATAGATAATGAAATATGCAAGATAGATAGATAGATAGATAGATAGATAGATAGATAGATAAGGAAATATGCAAGATAGATAGATAGATAGATAGATAGATAGATAAGGAAATATGCAAGATAGATAGATAGATAGATAGATAGATAGATAGATAGATAAGGATATATGAAATATAGATAGATAGATAGATAGATAGATAGATAGATAGATAGATAGATAGATAGATAAGGAAATATGTAAGATAGATAGATAGATAGATAGATAAGGAAATATGCAAGATAGATAGATAGATAGATAGATAGATAGATAGATAGATAGATAAGGAAATATGCAAGATAGATAGATAGATAGATAGATAGATAGATAGATAGATAGATAGATAGATAGATAGATAGATAGATAGATAGATAGGATAGATAGATAGATAGATAGATAGATAGATAGATAGATAGATAGATAAGGAAATATGCTAGATAGATAGATAGAAGTAGCTATATAAACTAGAAGCGAACAATAATGATATTGGTAATATTAGCCATCTCCCTACAAGGAAACATTTGGCATTCATTGACAAGCAGTCAGTTCTGCTGTCGGTTTATCTTAAAACGATTTTAGTTGTTGCTGCTCTTGATTGACTTCAAGTGGTGCGTTTTTTTTTTAATTTGTTGCTGTTCTTTGTTTATGATTCTGTAGCGTCAGACCACAATTTTCAAAGAAGGATGACCTTTGACAAGACTCACGGTCTTCGCTCGATCAAAGCCAATTTCAATAATTGATCTTAGAAAGCGCATTAATAAAATGTAGTCGTATCAACATAAACACAAACGTAATCTTAGGAAGTACTAAAGGATGAAACGCATCTCACAAAATTGTTTCCACTTCACACACACAGACACACACACACATATATATATATATATATATATATATAAGCTTCATTAAATATGACAGACAATGTGCTTTGGTTCATTTTTTATATAATTTCTCATATGGTCTTATATATTTTTTCTTTTCAGTTGATAAATTATACAAAAAACGATCTCTTTTGACTATACATTTAACCATTATCAAGGATGGAATATATTTACTGGTAAATGGAAATGGATTGTTGTATGCATGTACTTAGTGTTATAGAATGTTTTATTTTCAAAACACAATAAGCATATTATGTCCATGTTCATACATACATGAAAAGAAAACAAAATAAGATCATATGAGAAATTATATACAAAACGTGTCTGCTATATTTAATGAGGCTTGTATGAAGGAAGGATTGCTGCCTATATATATACATATATATATATATATATATATATATATATATATATATATATATATATATAGTTTATGCAAACTTAGGTAATCCGTATGGGTAGACCTGAGGAGGATGATATCTAGAGAGCTGTATGTAAAATTCAGAGCAGATATGTTTGAATAAAAAAAAGACCACGTTAAGATTCCATGTAATAAGCTATTTCACCATAACCCCTTTAACAGGGTTCTGGATTATCAGACTTTACTTCCGTCAAAAACGTGTGAATTTCTTTTCATTTTTCATTTCAGCTTTTGGAAGTAAAGTCTGATGATATATATATATATATATATATATATATATATATATATATATATATATATATATAATTAATGCAGAAATTATACTCCTAAAAGAGTATGATATAAAGGCTCCCAAGAGAAAAGAGTTCAATGCTATATTTAATGTCAGGTCATTAATATAATTTATATCTTACCGCTGAACAAAGGCCGATCATAACTTAAAGTTTAATGCGTTTTCATGAAATCATCATGTAGTCGACTGAAATAGATGCATAAGATGATGAAAAGAGATGCTGATTGGTTGGTTTTCTTTAGCGGCATATCAACCTCTATGGTTTCTTTAACCCCGAAACATAAATATTATATGAATTCAACTACAGATAAAATGTATTGTTGACATCTAACTATAAATATATAGTGGTGGTCGTTTTATTTATATAAAAATGTATGGCTGATATTTGTTACTCTAAAATGTATTTTTTAGACTTTTGATAGACTTTTGTTTTTGTTTTGAGTGGGTGTTCACTATTTGCCCATAGATAAAACCCTAACAGGTGACACCACCCTGCCTCAAGGTGGACCTAGGAACAACAGCAACTCCTCTTTGTTTCACAATCCTCAAAACCTCATATATCCCGATCAGTGGACATGATGCCGGGTTTAGTTTATCACCATACCCAGGACTATAGATAGATAGATAGATAGATAGATAGATAGATAGATAGATAGATAGATAAGTAATGAAACATGCAAGGTATATAGATCCATAGATATATAGATAGATAATGAAATATGCGATGTAGATAGATAGATAGATAAATAGATAATGAAATATGCAAGGTAGATCGATCGATGAAATATGCATGATATATATATATATATATATATATATATATATATATATATATATATATATAGATAGATAGATAGATAGATAGATAGATAATGAAATATGCAAGGCAGATAGATAATGAAATGTGCAAGATAGATAGATAGATAGATAGATAGATAGATAGATAGATAGATAGATAGATAATGCAATATGCAAGGCAGATAGATAATGAAATATGCAAGATATATATATATATATATATATATATATATATAGATAGATAGATAGATAGATAGATAGATAGATAGATAGATAGTTAGATAGATAGAAATGAAATATGCAAGTTAGATAGATAATGAAATATGCAAGGCAGATAGATACATAATAAAATATGCACGGTAGATAGATAGATAGATAGATAGATAATGAAATATGCAAGATAGATTGATACCAAAAAAGATAATGGACAATGATACATAGATCGATACATAAATAGATAGAATGATAGATAATGAGACGTGCGAGATTGATACACAGCTAAAGAAATGAACCATGTTACATAGATATTGGAAAATGCTAGCTAGACAGATATTGAAATATGCTTGGTAGAGAGATAATGAATCATGCTAGATAGATAAATAATGAAACATACTATATTGATAGATAGATAGATAGATAGATAGATAGATAGATAGATAGATAGATAGATAGATAGATAGGTAGGTAGGTAGATAATGAAATATTCTAGATAGATAGATAGATAATGTAATATGAAGATAGATTGCTACAAAGATAGATAATGGACATTGATGGATAGATAGATGTGCTAAAACTATAGCATAGCTATAATAATAATAATAATATATATTATTTAAAACCTAGAATATGGAATAATGTGAACAGATATGATAGACAGATGCAATATAAGCGCAACATGTCTGAGGGATGTAAGAATATGTATTTCACAATATGACGGTTTTTCGATGTAAACGAACAATCAGCGAATATGCATATATCACCGTTTCGTTAAAAGACGCAGGTGGTAATATGCTGTAACTTATTACAGAATTAATTACAGAATGGCAGTTATGCCTACGCGGAATCGGTTACAGTTAAAGGATTTATAATGCGAAAATAAAATCGTTTATAATTAAAAAAAAAAATAGACGATGATAAATACAGAAGAAATAATTAAAGAAATGAAATTTTAGAGTGATTTGAAGAAAGAAAGAGAGATGAACTTTTTTTTTTAATTCCAAAGAAAGAAAAAGAAAAACGAAAAGTAGTTGAAAGGACAGAAATAATTCAAGACGAAAACATAATAATGAAAAACATGTTAAGAAGTTAAGTTACGGAAAAATAGAAATCAAATGTTGAAAAACTACAAATCAAATGGTGAACAAAAGTAAAATATTTAAATACTTTACAAAGAAAGCGAATGATAGAAAGGAAGAAAAAAATGAAGAATCTAAAAAAAAAAAGAAAAAAAAAGGGATTCATACAAAAAAAATGTAGGAAATATTTGGAAAGAGAAGACGATAATGAAAAAAGAAAAAAAAATCCTCTGGTCGTAAATAATCCGAATCGCTACGGAGTTTCACGAACGTAGAGTAAAAATAAAATAAAATGAATAAATAAAAACAATGAAGTTAAAATAAATATAAATATAGAAAATAACAAAATAATACATCGTATAAAATTTTCCATCGGCAATATAACAAATAAAGTTTAACAACGATAAAGCCCACAACAAAGAACGATTTTATTTGATACGGGGAGAGCTTTTTACGTTAACGATTAGAAATCTCTTAAAATGCTTTATTATTTTTCAAACATTTGTTTTTATTTCGTGCTGAAAATTACTTCGTTGAATTTGTTCATTTTCGATTTACGTTATTTTTTTTTTCGCCTCTCGGAATAATTCATGTATCGGTTGAAAAACGATCTTTTATTTTTGATAATTTTACGAGTCATACCTTTTTGATCCTGCCATTCAATTACGTTCAACAGAGCCATTATATCGTTTAAATATTATTAATATGCTTTTGCAATATTGATAGTTTTTCAGCGGACATCAAAAAGCTTTAAAGATTACTAATATGCAGGGGAAAAAAAGTGGAATATTTTACTTAAATCGAAATTAAAGAAAATATTAACTTTTAAAATGTTTACTCTTTCTTTGTGATAGAATAAATAAACATGTTTATTATTGCCCGTTGTTCTTTTACTCAAAGGAAGTGAGATGCTTCATAGGCCTCGCTTTGATGTTGGCATAAGCCAGTAGAGTAATTGTTTATTGTAAATCAACAAGGCCCTCATCGAATTATTTAAAAAAAGAACAGTTTCTCTGCTCCTTGTAACGAATGTTAGCAAAAATATTTGGTTGATATATTCAATCCTTGCAACAAGTTATTTTTTTTTTTATGAAAACACAAGCAAATTCGTCCGTGCATTGAATATTGCCACTGTATTAGGTCAATTAATTCTGCTATGTATTTCGAGATCTCTATCTATAAAAGGCAGGATGTGTATGTGTAAGTGTGTGTGTGTGTGTGTGTGTGTGTGTGTGTGTAACAAATGCACGGCCGCAATTTTCGACGGATTTGCTCCAAAATTTACATGCACATGCTCCAAGTTAGCACAAAAGCCAAGACCGACCTTGCATTTCCCAACTCCCATCGATAGTGGAAATAAGCTATTTTTTCATGCTTCTACGGTAGTTTTCATGTAGTTTGCGGCCATTTTCTACTGGCCAGAGTGAGAGTCTATAGCTGGCTGCCACGAATAGGCAGGGAGATTCTATTGGTTAGCGTGAGAGCCAACAGCTGACTGATACGAATGTTAACTAGCATGCTAGCATGCAAAAAATCGATAGCTGCATTCGTCACAAGTGGGAAAAATTTAAATCTGCATGGCACTTTACTCCAATTGACTCATTCGCTTGCTTAAACAGAACGTTGATTCTGATTCCGCAGAACTGGGTTGGGTGTAAAAAAGTATTTGTTGTTAACATTCTTTTTCTCATTAGGTTTTTCCAGTTAGGAGTCCTTTTTTTTAAAGTTGATCGTTTTGTGTTCATTTTGTTTAGTTCTTTTTTCGTAACAGATTTATTGTTTAGTATAGAGCTTCGAAAAAATTCGCAGTGTGAGATAGGCAAGAAGTAAGTCATGTAGCAACATCAGCACGGCAAAGGGCACCCCTTTAAAGGCAAGGAAGGGACAACATATTTTAAGTCAAATGATAGCGATTGCTGTATGGGTCGTACGATTTTTGAATCAAGCACGGGCAACGCCGGGCCATGCTGCTAGTTCTTGATAAAATCCAAAGAACGGTCTGTAAATACAATCGATCCTTACCTGACATCTCGACTCCAGTCACTTTTTCACCGACGTGACGTAGCTACCTACTGTTTTGTCTATAAATATTTTTCATGGCAAATGTTGTGGTGAGTTTTTCTCTTCTAGGGTTTACATTTTTAAATGTTGTTATTTTTATATCCTGCCAGAGAAATCGTACGTATCGGAACTAGTTAGGATTCTATAGACTTTGAGGTAATATGGTAGCTGTAGTAAAAATGTGAAGTAAGAACGTGTTGTTTTTGTATCTGTCTATATTCCTGAGATGAGGTATTATGTACATTATTTACATTATTCGGACTATTGTCCTCATCTTTGTCGCCATATTTATTACAACGTTTCGGCCTTTAAGTATCTGCCTATATTCCTGAGATGAGGTATTATGTACATTATTTACATTATTCGGACTATTGTCCTCATCTTTCTCGCCATATTTATTACACCGTTTCGGCCGTTGTACGCCCCGGTTTTCTCCAGGTGGTTGGAATGTCGAACTGAACCCTTTAAACATGGCACGTGGAACTAGAATAGTCTACCCCAGTGAGCGAAATAAAGGGTTCAGTTCGACATTCCAACCACCTGAAGAAGGCCGGAGCGCACAACGGCAGAAACGTTGTAATAAATATGGCGACAAAGATGAGGACAATAGTCCGAATAATGTAAATAATGTACATAATTTATTTAGGCGTAGACACTAGAATGGCAACTAGGTTTTACTGTTTAACCCGCTTAATTTAACCGTGAGTTCTATTTTAATAACTTATTTTCTCGAATATTTCACATCTGGATCATTCTTCCGGTTTCTTGTTTCCCTGCAATCTATAAAAGTGTAAAAGCAACGCCAGTCACCATTTTCTTTCTTTATATAATGTGATCTCAAATGTACACAGGTGAAGGCTTTAAGAAAACTTTATTTAACTGAGAATAGAAGGTTCGCGTAGAGTGTCCTTTTATAGTCCCAGTAAACAGAAAAGCTCTCTCAAAGAGGAGAGTAACAAAACAAGGGGAGACCACTCTTGATTATTCTTAACACATACATTCAGACAGACTCCCTCAACTTTCTTATTACTATCAGGTCTCGGCTGGTGTTGATCCGTTAACTTTTTAGGAAGGTGTCGATCCAGTTAACCTTCCCGGAAGTTCGAACTGAAATTGTTCTCTTCCCATCCTAGGGGTTGTTTTTTTTTCTTTTTTTTTCCTTTTTTTTTTTTTTTTTATCCCGTGACTCGTAGGGTCGTAGGGGCACTATGTGTACTGCATACGCAGTAAGTGTGCTGTTTCTTATGTAAGATAACCTGACGGAGCCCATCCCTCTCCATATACGGTAATATTACTGATAATAACCCTTTAAAAATGTATTTCTGGTATTAAAACTTATTTTTACAATTACATAGTTTTTTGACCCCAGTGTGGGGTAAACCATAGTTGGGGCCCTAACAGGTGCTACCACCCCGGGTCAAGGCGGATCTGGGAAACACGAACAATTAAGAGGTAGTTCCATGTCCCTCAAAACCTCCTGATCAGAGGCCTTGCTGTTAGATGTAGTTTATTGTCTTACCCAGGACGGTGAGGCGTTGGTGGAACTATGGATTATAGCTGATTTGCTATGAAAAAGTGATAAGGCGTTTTTTAATCATTTCACTCCAAAAAACTGAGACGTTAGCGGTTACAACGCGTGAAAGAATAAATGTAAATGAAAATCATTTTTAAGGAAAGCGAACAAAAACAAGAATTAAGAAAATTAAAGGAAAAGATTGATGTTGTATTTAAATATTTGAGAGGCAAATTTGACTAGAAAGCAATAGGCCGACAGAGAGCGCTACAAGGAAAAGAAGACACAGTTAAAGAACTTAAGGTTACATCTAGCCATCACGGAGAACTGTCCCAAATAACAAGACAAAAGACAAATCACTTGAGGATTACCAACAGCAGTAACAACTAAAACGGATAGCACCTGGAACACGAAAAGTATGTGACATAATCACTATATTAAGCTTCCACACCACTTCAAATAAGTTAAGACGGAAACCCACATAAATACTGAAAATGCTACTGGACTTCACAAACCTGTTTCCTTAAAGAAAAGAGATTTAAGACAAAGCTTTTATAATTCTCAACTGCAAATATCACTGCCTTCTCAGTCAATAAATATGAAATGTTTCCTTCTAGGGGTACGGCTAATATTTCCACTGTAAAATGATGCCAGCTACCTGACGATCTAGAACGACAGCTGAAATTAATAAAATCGAGGTGTCAAATAGAAAATATTGTAGTAAAAATAAGTAGTAACGGTTTTGCGACATCTGTGGGAAAACAGTTGCACGTTTGAAAAGAATTCATCGGCAACAAGGCCGCGTAGAAGCATTTGAAGTGGGTTGAGAATAAAAGGTGAAGATTCAACACAGACATAGCTGACTCTGATCTGATCTGACTTTTGTAAAGATAGAGCATAGTAAAAAGAACAAGATACTTCCTGGAGCGATACAAGAGACATACCATTTTTAAGCATATTTCATATATAATCACTCACTCTCTCTCTATACACACACACACGCACACACACACACACACACACACACACACACACACACACATATATATATATATTATAGTGGGTCAGCCAATTTGTATTGGTTATAAATAGAAATAAAAACTGACCCTCTACAATTTTTACAATATCAAATGTAACAAAGACAACAACAAGAGAAATAATCAAGTAGAAGGTAAAGAAAGCAAACAAAACAAGACCGATAATATATGTATATACAAATATATATTAATAACAAGTTACAATACATGGAAACAGTACAAAGGACGAAGTGTGTGTGAATATTCTGTATGTGCGTGCGAGTGTGAATATTCTGTATGTGCGTGCGTGTGTGTATATTGTGCTTAGCGTGTTTCCACGCTATCCCTTGTTAGCGACTACATTTCGAGGTTGATAGCTGAAAATCCTCTAGGAATAAGAGAGTTTACCTCAAGGTGTCAGTGTACAGGCCTGAAAAGGAAAAAGAGAGAGAGGCGAAGGGTCAGCAGCTATTTATAGCCTGGGAAGAGAGACCCCTGGTGAAAGGGTTAACGGACTGAAAGGGGGAGTTAACTCCGACAATATATAGATAGAGAGAGAGAGAGAGTAGATAGATAGATATAAACATGATATATATATATATATATATATATATATATATATATATATATATATATATATATATATATATATATATATACATAGCGACAGAGAGATAGGTAGATAGATAATGGACAGAACGAGATTATACACACACATATATATATATATATATATATATATATATATATATACACACACACACATACATATACATATGAACAGCAACAGATAGATAGTTATGAGTTATGCACACACACACGCATACACACACACACACACATATATATATATATATATATATATATATATATATAAATAGACTGAGTTATATAAATAGATACATAGACAGATGTAAGCAGTCCAATGTAGTTACATATAAACATAATGAAAGCATACGGAGAGGCAAACAGATGGTTAGATACGACCCGACCGAGATTAGATAGATAGATAGATAGATAGATAGATAGATAGATAGATAGATAGATAGATAGATAGCCCGACATATTTATTGTCTGTTCTTTATTTTCATTAATACAACAGTATATCCAAGTGCAAGAAAGATCAAGTCATCTATAAGTGATGATGTTTCTGAATATCCAGGACATTTGAGATCTATTTCGGGAAGAAAAAAATGTCAGAAGGTCAATTTTTCGCCCGGGGTTTGGCGTCATTACATTAGATGAAGGGAAACAATTTTGGTTTATTTATGTACGTTTTCATTAATACTCAGTGTCTTTCCATCTTCTAGGTCTGTCCATACGTATACACATACCCAAACACACATTGATCTCAGAACGAACCGGTGTACAGCTGCGGACGCATACACGCAGCGACTCATACATATAAGGCAATGTTTTACGTTGAGAGAATATAGAGATTTTATACATCTAGCCTAATACAGCACATAGGACATTTGATGACGGAGGATTTTACTACAACTTCTCGATCAATGTATGACGAATGTTTCCTTATAACGACAAGGTTAATATTACCGTTACATTAGAAACAAGGAGAACAGCTACTACACTCTGATTCGAGCAGCGATGGCTGCAATATTTATTTTTCCAAAAAAAATGCAAAAAAATTATGGCGCATGGCTAAGCTGGTAATGGGGAGAGCTGGGTGCACGGTCTATGAATGCTGAATGTTTCCTTGTAAGGAAAAGGTTAATATTGCAATTGCTATTACATTTCAAGTCACGCTAACATGAAAAATGTGCTTAGCTGAGAGTTCACTTTTTATCAATTCACCCCAAGTAAGAAGATAATGCCACTAAAACTCAAGGGTCTATTGGGGGTGAAAGCGAATGAGAAGACTTTAGTCTGAACCGAAAACACAATTCTTAACAGAAAACCTAAGGATAAACCCCTGTTCAAAAGAATGGGGAGGAGTGTGATACTGACGATAGGCGAAGCTATCTACACCTATTGAGAAAAAAATACCATAAGTATGTATATACAATTTCAGAGTTTACTCGGAGGCATTAAAATATGGAGTTGAAGTAGTCTTTATAAAGAACAGGTCATTCAATCCTAAAGATGGAACAATCGATAAATCTCTACTCTTCTTCAAAAGATGAGGAAATTCACATATTTAAGTCTATCATTGAACCGTGCATTGGATATTACAGTCGCATAAGGCCAATTAAGCCATATATTGGCTGTGAATCTTTCCATAATCGATTGATCTACAGCTTGCCCGACAGTGGTTCGTCCTACGAAGGAAGGGGCACAATATGGCTATGGGTATTTTAGTGAGGCTGTAAAAAAACAAACATCAATATTGGCCATTTATAACCGCTGGCTAAAAGAATCAATCAGGGGTTACTTTCGGCAACGGAATCTGGAAATTCGGCGGATAACTCACTAGAACCATCGATTGGCAATGTTTCTTCCGAACATCATCGCCATCGTACCTTTTTTTTTACATTTAGCAAAAAGCCCTCCAAAAATCAGCAATTACTCATTTCCTTTTTTATTCGAAATTCCCCCAACTCGAAATGCAAAATATTTATCAATTCTTTCTATATCATCTTTATATTTTTTTTTACTAATTTTTACCCAATGCAAGGTCCACGATCCAATCAAGGTAGAGTGTTACTATAAAGATTTTTATTAGCATAGAAAGAACAAGCGTTAGGAGTACAGAGTTTATGCAGACTTTGGAAGCAACCGGTAACCCAGTCTTATAAAGGAAATGAGGAATAAATCTCCACTCCTCTTTCAAAGACACTTCGCTTAATATAGATCCTTAACAAAGTATGCTGACATTTTTTTATTCGAACTCACATATGTCTATGGCGATATTTTTAAAATAAATATCGTGTCCTAGTCATGTATAAGAAGCCAGGGAATCGATTTTGTATTTAAAAAAATAGTTTAAGATACACATAATAGACAACAAATTATGAACAATTCAGGAAGAAATTAAAACGCTCAGATTATGATAAATATAATCCTAACATCGCTTGACAATGGAACGAGACTCTGGATTTTAAGTTTAATTTTTATAATTAAATTTAAAACTTTAGTTTCAGTTTTGAAACAGAAATTTCTGTGTTACGATGGAATCATATTTTTTTAAAAAAGTAAATAATTAAAATAAGCGAGATATAGATTTATAGGTAGTGTTAACAAAACTTTATTATCTTATCATGACATTGATGTCATCAGAAAACCCAGAAACTTGTGTTTATATATATATATATATGTAATGAATTCAGTCTATACCGGAGTTGAATAAGACTGACGAATTTTATTTTTTGGTCGGTCGAAATAAGCTTATTTTCCATATTAGGTGATTTTGGATTTTATTGTGTATTAATTTCTGCTCTGTATCAATAAATGCATTGAGTTCGTTTTGTAAATACGTTTTAATATTTTATATTTCTAGGATCCACTTCGATTACATACCAACGGATTTATTACATTTACTATATATATATATATATATATATATATATATATATATATATATATATATATATACATGAATCATTCATACAGAAAACAGATATAGAAGTTAATGATATAAATTTGTCGACATTTATATCATTAACTTCTATATCTGTTTTTTTTGTATGAATCATTCATGCAATGTAAATTGAACCGCACAACATACTTGATGTATGTATATATATATATATATATATATATATATATATATATATATAAAAAAAAAAAACACTAATATTCCATATTCATAATTTATTCCATTGGAATCGTAAATAGGATCAATTCATCAGACCTACAAATTCAAAAGTTTGAATTTGTAGGTCTGATGAATTGATCAATTTACGATTCCAATGGAATAAATTATGACCATGGAATATTAGTGTTTAAGACTTTTTTTTATTATATCTTTATTCTGTCCTGGACATTGAGTTCTACCTGGATTCTATCGTCTTGTAATAATTTTTTTTATACAAATATATATCTATGTGTATATTTACAACTAATATATATATATATATATATATATATATATATATATATATATATATATATATATATATATATATATATATATATATATATGTCAAAGCAGTAATTATACAAAGGATTAATTACAATGTTAATGGGATTACTGGCGAAATCCATTTGCTAACAATTAATACGACTTAATGAGACAACATTAACTTATTATTATTTTCTTGAATAACGCGATCCTTATATTTGAATTTTTGAACAGATGGAATTAATGGTACTGCGCCGAGTACTTTCAACAATTTCAAATTGTCATCTTCAGGGCTTAATATTTCCATTTACATGTAAACACCAAGAAGAAATCAATGTAGTGTAGACCGAAAGATGTTTGTAAAATATGCTATTTATTGAACGTTACATTTTTTCGGAACGAGCAATGCCGCAATGCTAATGTCCTTGTTTAAATAATTCCAGTGAGAATTTTGTTTGAATTTATTAATGTGATAAATCTACGAATTTTATTTTTGTTCTATGTGTTGAGTTTAGGGAGTTGGTTCCTCAGAGATACGGTTCGCGATAAGAAGCCGTTTGATTAGAACTTCCATCTCACCGCTAGAAGGTGAAGTGAATGAGGTTGGCTCGTTACAATAGGCGCAGCATGGTGGGTTATAGACGAGAAGGTCATAAATGGTAGAACTAATGAACGTAGTTCGTCTAAGCACTTTCCAAGGAATTATCGATAGATCAGCAAGAGGATTGCAAAGTTTCGTCTGTGAGAAAAGTGCTGTAGGTAGGAAAATAATTTGTCACCCACACGGAAAGCGGAGATATTTTTTAATTCTATTCCTGTCAAATTGTGCCCCCTACATTCGGCCTTGTGCCACATCTAATCTACGCTTGGAAAATCGCTATTCCTTTCAAATTGGAAGAGTGGGAAGTAATATCTACTTTACTATATTCCTAATAATTGAGCATGAACTGTCTCATATGACGTGCCATAAATATCCAACCAGGGGTTTCATCTAATAGGCTCATCTATCTTATATGCCATCGAATACGATAGGTATTTAACAGAGGAGGAATAAAGGATTGAAACACGAAAACGGGTTTTAGAAAGTAGAATAATATACTGGAATGTTCTGCCCACGGATTTTAAAATTGAACCAAGGAAATATATAAATCTAAAATAATTTAAATACTCGAAGCCATTTCAAAATAATTAATTCTTTTCTGTTTCCGATGTCTTGTTTTCTTAGACAAAAAATAGCGAAGTTAGGCAAGGTTTTCTTTTCAGCAGCACTTCGTGAATGTTTCACTCACCAACAATTAATTTATTTATTCTTTACCTCTGTCTCTATTTTTCGGATTGCCTTTTTTTCTCTCCCTTATTTTTTTTTTTTTGGTTAAATTCATTTTATCGCAGCATCTTACATCTATGTTCAATCTTATGTTCTTCTGTCCCTTTCTCTTGATGTTGTATTTTCTTCTACTTCATAACAAGCACGAAGAGTTCTTTATTTTTGAACGATTCAAACATTCAAAGAGTCTCTCTATATTTTCTTTCTCCCTTTCTTTGTTTTCTATTCTAACTTCCAATCATGTAAGACACGCTGAAATCTTTATTTTTGTTTCGTGAGTGAGGAGAACTATTCCTATATTTAGAGAATCACCTTCTACAGTCTTTTCTTTCTCGTGTTTGCCTTTCTATCATTCTTTCTTTCTGTCTGTCTTTCTTTCTTTCTTTCTACTTACAATTCTCAATGTTTCTTTACTTTTTCTTCCTTCTTTATGATTTACATTCTTTCTTTCTTTCTTTTTTTCTTACTACTTACAATTCTCAATGTTTCTTTAATTTTTCTTCGTTTTTTATCTTTTACTTTCTTTCTTTCTTTTTTACTTTTTTCTTTCTACTTACAATTCTCAATATTTCTTTACTTTTTCTTCCTTTTTATCTTTTACTTCTTTTCTTTCTTTCTTTCTTTCTTTTTTTTCTTTCTTTCTTACTTACTTACTTTTTTCTTATTACTTACAAATCTGAATATTTCTTTAATTATTCTCCCTTCTCTTTTATTTTCTTTCTTTCTTTTTTTCTTATTACTTACAAATCTCAATGTTTCATTAATTTTTCTTCCTTCTTTATGTTTTACTTTCTTTCTTTCTTTCTTTCTTTTTTCTTTCTTTCTTTCTTTTTTCTTATTGCTTACAAATCTCAATGTTTCATTAATTTTTCTTCCTTCTTTATGTTTTACTTTCTTTCTTTCTTTTTTTTCTTTCTTTCTTTCTTTCTTTTTTCTTATTACTTACAAATCTCAATGTTTCTTGAATTTTTCTTCCTTCTTTATGTTTTACTTTCTTTCTTTCTTTTTTTCTTTCTTTCTTTCTTTCTTTCTTTTTTCTAATTGCTTACAAATCTCAATGTTTCGTTAATTTTTCTTCCTTCTTTTTTCTTTTACTTTCTTTCTTATTATTATGATCAATTCTCAATTTTCCTTACTTTTTTTCTTCATTTTTGGGTTTTCCCTTACGTTCCCCAAATTTAAGCCAGGTCGAGCCTGGTCATTAACCAGATGGCTGAACGTTTGGGACTATCAAGGGCTGTAAGGTTGGATGTGTCGTGTAATAGATAATGGCTCGGAATTTTTAATCAGAGAGCCGAGTTTCAATTTCATTTGAGTTTATTATATTCCCTTACGCGCAAATAACCTTGGGAAATAGATGAATCCACCTTTTCTCCTATCAGCTATGGGTTAATTAGTAAAACTTGTATCACTAAAACGCTTATACCTCAAAAACAAATTTGCGTACGAGATATTTAGATTTCGGGATTAAATAACCCATAGCGGTGTTGATATGCCGCTAAACAAAAACAATCAATATTATCTTTTTTCTTTTTTTTTTTTTTTTTTTTGTTAACTTCATTTCTCAAACTTTCTTTCTTTTTTCCCCGCATGTATTTGTATTTTCTTTCTTTTTTGTTATCAACTTCGTTTCTCTCATTATAACCTCTATTTCACTATAGGCATGTTCTGGGCACCTCGACGTGTTGTAATGGTTATCAAGCTTGTCTCGCTAGATCACTTTCGACTGAATGGAGAGTTATATCCTGACTGGGTGCCCCGTGATTCTGGCCATGTGCCACATCTAAACTACGCTTAGAAAATCCTCATGTAATTGTATTGTCTTCCTTTTTCATCAGCATTATGTTTATTTCTCAGTCTTTCATTCAACATCTCTTACTTTTAATCTTAAACTTTCTTTCTTCCTTTCCCTTTTTCTTTCTTTCTTTCCTTCTTTCTTATATTTTCTTTCTTTCTGTCTTTCTTTCGCCCTTTCTTACTTTTCTTTCTTTCGCCCTTTCTTTGTTTCGTTTTTCTTCCTTCTTTCCTTTCTTTCTGTCTTTCTTTCTTTCTTTCTTTCTCCTTTTCTTTCTTCTATTCTTTCTTTTTCCTTCCTTTCTTTCGTTCTTTCTTATATATTTCTTACTTTCTTATATATTTCTTTCTTTCTTTCTTTCTTTCTTTTTCATTCCTTTCTTTCGTTCTTTCTTATATATTTCTTTCTTTCTTTCTTTTTCCTTTCTCTTTTCGTTCTTTCTTATATATTTCTTTCTTTCTTTCGTTTTTCTTCCTTCCTTCCTTTCTTTCTTTTTCCTTCCTTCCTTTCTTTCTTAAATATTTCTTTCTTTCTTCATTCCTTTTTCTTTCTGTTTTCCTTCCTTTCTTGATTATATCTTTCTTGATTCCATTTTTTCTTTTTTTCTTCCTTCCTTTCTTTATTATATCTTTCTTTCTTCATTCTTTCCTTTCTTTCTGTTTTTCTTTTATTCTTTCTTTCTTCCAGCGTTTCTTTTTGTTTCCTTCCTTCCTTCCTTCCTTCCTTTCTTTCTTTCTTTCTTCAACCTCCTCTCTCTAAGTAGCATGTGCATTCTGAACTTTCCTTTTTTAATGCTCTAAGCAAATATGTCCCTTTTTACTTCCCAAATGTATATTCGTTCTATTTCTTCCACCGCCTGCTTTCATTTTTTTTTCTTTTGCGTAGATTTTCCACTCAGTGTGTTAACGTTTCCACGTATTCTTTTCTCATAATTTCTCCTCTAAATCTCTGCTGTCAATCTGTCCATAGTAGACTCAAAGTAGTTGCTTAACTCAATATAACTGCTGACAATGGAAACATAAATAAATAAAACTTTAAAACCTCTGAAATTCGATTTGAAAACATCACGCAGAATTTCAATGTCACGAAAAATAACATAAATAGCAGAGAATTTCTAAAGACGAAAAAAAAAACAAGAGGAAATTTCATTGAAAATTCATACAGAATTGCCATCTATTCCCTGCATGAAAGAATGGAAAATCTACCGAAAGAATCTGATTTTTACCTTAAAACCATCATTGTGATCTCTAACCTGATTCTTTGCTTGGGTTGGTTAGAATGAGCCAAGAGTGTACATTCAGTAACTCTTGGTTTTCGCCTGATAAACTTTAATTCTTGACGTTTGATTTGAATATTTTTCTTAAGATGTTTATTAACTCTTTCTTTCTTCATTTCTTTCTTTCTTTCTTTCTTTCTTTCTTTCTTTCTTTCTTTCTTTGCCATATCTCTTCCGGATGTCTCAGTTATCTCCCTTTCATTCGAATCTCCAATATTTTGCTTGCCACTGCAGTAATCAGGTATTGAACTCACAGCTACTTAGATACAGATGGACCAGTGGATAAACGCGTTGGTTGGAGCCAGTGACTTGACCCAAAGAATTGTGAGTTCGATACCTGACTACTGCAGTGTTGAACAAAATCCTGAAGAGTTGAGTTAAAAGGAGATAACTGAGACACCCGGACGATGCATGGCACGTGGAACTAGAACAATCTACCCCAGCGGATGAAATAAAAGGGTCAGTTCGAAATTCCAATCACCTGAAGTAGGCCGAAGCTTACAACTGCTGAAATGTCATGAATACGGCAATAAAGATGGGGAAAACAGTCCAAACAATGTAAATAATTACAATACAGAAATATAGACAGATATATCATGTGTTGTTTTCTTTTGTCTCTCTTGCCTTTCCTATATCCTGTGAGCGTCAAATTTTCCAAGCCATCTTTCTTCATTATGTGCCCTAGAAATTTCAACTGTTTCTTTCTGGTGTTAAGCATGTGTCCTTTTTTTTTCATTTCCTCTAAAAGAGTATTGTTGCTCATATGTTTGATCCACGTTATCCTCACCTTCTTTTTCATATTTCTGTTGCTCCAAGTCTCCTTTTCATCTTTAATGAGATTGCTCCGCATTCACGGCCATATCGGAAGACTGATACAAAAATAAAAATCAGTGTTTACGTAACAGCATAACAGTTCAATTGATAAAAACGTATGGGTGTGCAGGCTGTCGGGATTTTTTTTTTTCGAACGTGGATTCTGGTTCTGGATGATGCACATTGTGCAGCAATATAGAGTCAGCTGAGGTCTTCTTAAACTGAAAACAGCTGGATTCGCCACAATAATGGCCTACGGGATATTTACTTCCGACAATTGGTTATCATTAAGGGAAGTAAACTTCAAGGTACAGATTATGAGGTTCAGAAAGAGAGAAATTCACGAAAGGAGGACAAATTAATTTTTTAGACGAAGATAACAAGACAAAGAAAATTGTTATCTATAAAACTGATCAACCGTCGAAAAAGCACACAGAGGGATGAAGCGAGCCTCAGAGAATAGTAAGGGAAAACAGCCTCTAGACAAGGCACCCACCTCACCTACGCCTCAGCTCTACTCCGCTCGTCTATATTAGAGGCTAAGAATACAATCTGGTTTACAGCTAGAATTTATTTGTTTTCACACATGATTAACAATCTGGCCGAAGTGTAATTCTTGAGCCTCAAGTGTTGACTGGATGAAACTGCACTATATCAACAAACCATGTCATGAATACGGCAATAAAGATGGGGAAAACAGTCCAAACAATGTAAATAATTACAATACAGAAATATAGACATATATAAGTCTAGTCTGAGCTGCAACGCAAGAAGTGGATCTTGACATGCTCATATAAAGCGAGAAATAATCTCTGGAAATAATGTTGGCGCATTGCATTTGTAGACTGTTTCTTCTGTTAGTTTCATACGCCAAAATGTTTGTTACGGGGCAGGTGTAGCCCAGACTGAAGTAAAAATAACAAACAAAAAACACAGATATGTGACTTTTTTTTCCCCTTCGAATTAGTGAAGTAGGATCGATATGACGTTACCTTCGTTCAGACGAATCCAAATGATACAACCTTGCCAATTGTTAAAATGAAATGATCGCATGAAATGGGAGAATCGTGTCCCTTGGACGGCTTCTCTATTTTTCTCCATTTTTTTCCAACATTCTTTATTCCAGCTTTGGCTTTTTCAAGAATTAAAAGGAAAAAAGTAACCACGTTGTTGAACAGACTGCCGCGTGCGTTCATCCCTTCCTCGTCCTCATCCTCATAGTTCACTTCCTACTATCTTTTATATTTATACCATGCACCGCATTCAAAAATATCTACCTTGAGTTGCTCACAAGCCATGTATTTGGTGACCTTTAGTATTAAAAAATGCAACATTGTTTCATGGTATTAAATTATCCGATATTTTTCACTTTATTAAGTCATAAGAGAAGTCTCAGTTTCTTATTTTTATTAATTTCTCAACATGAATATATATATATATATATATATATATATATATATATATATATATATATATATATATATATATATATATTAGTGGAAAATATACATACATATGCAAAATATATAAATATCCATACATGTATATTTTCAGAAAAAATTCCAAGAGGAAGAATCCAGGTAGAACTCAATGTCTAGAACAGAGTAAGGATATAATTAAAAAGCTTAATATTAGCGTTTTAGCCTTTTTTATATATATATATATATATATATATATATAGAACCATATATATATATATACATATATATATATACACACACAGATAGTTATTAGTAGGAGGATTTGATAATGATATTTAATTAATTCATCGAGTCTGATAGAAACCTCTACAGAATGCAGGAAGCACTGGACGGCCGTTTCTTCCTATATTTGGGACTCATCAGCAGTGCACCATAGGACTGTGCCCCCGGTAGTCCTATGGTCACAGAGACCTCAGTTGAGTTCCGCCACGGAATATGTGAGCGAGCGGCGCTTAGTTGAGTCTGATTTGGAATCTCATCGTCACCGAGGCCCATTTGGAACAGTTGGTATGGTGTTCGCTTGACAACCAAACTGTCAGGGTTCGATACTCGGTAGTGGATGCGCACTGCTGATGAGTCCCAAATATAGAACGAAACGGCCGTCCAGTGCTTCCTGCATTCTGTAGAGGTTTCTATCAGACTCGATGAATTAATTAAATATGTATATATATATACTTTTCAAAGCCTAAATGCGACACAATTCTGCTTATTAACGAATCCACCTAGATGAAAATGGGCATCATTACTAAAAAGGTTTTTTTTTTTTTCTGAAAAATCTTCATCGGCTTGTCTTTACTTGCGCATCCAATTGACGAATGTACGCCGCTCTAAATCGTCGACAGGTTTCAGTTTTTGTGTCAGTTGAATTTTGTAAGCGCGTCGTGATAAATCTTTTTTCAAAATTCGATGTAACGTTGCTGTGGAAAAGTTCAGTTCCTGCGCGCGATGACGAATAGAGGTGTCTAAATTTTCGGTCACATTCCCGTGCACTGCAGCAATATTTTCAGCTGAACGGCACAAACGAGCACGCAAATGCGTTTTCACATCTGCCACAGACCCAATTTGTTTGAATTTCTAACTGCACTCTTTCTATTTGAACGTCCATTTTCGTAATAGACTTTGATAACGTTAACAAGTTGTTTAGTTGTAAATCTTTCCATGGTTGAAATTACCAAAGACTAAATTTGTTAAATCTGAAAGAGAATTAAAAAAAAATCATTAGACGCTTAAACTTAATTCACATTTAAAATTGGTCCAAGCTGTTGGAACACCCTTCGATATTCAAGTTACTGGAACACACTTATTTATTTTTAAAGAAGCTAGCTCTGTTATTTTTATCCGAATGTACACTTTTTATTAGCCAGTCATTGTCTATATCTTGAGATATTTTTTGAAATTAGCGTCCTTTATAATAGAAGACAATAAAATATTAACTTCATATTTCGTTCATTATTTTTTAAGTAAATAAGACAGAAAAAAAAACACCAACACTAAAAAGAAACAAGAGCCAAGTCCAATAATAGTCGACGTTTTTATTATATATTCTTTGTGCGTTTATTTTTATATAGAGATCTCATGGCGGAATTACGTGCACTAAAAGGTGAAGAGTTATGTCCCTTGAGGCTGTGACATTTACTGGCGAAATGATATTATGTTCCTCTCGTGTAGTCATTCTTTGCGTATCTATTTAATTCAACTTGTGGTTGGAAAAATAAAACAAAACAAAGCTGCTGACAAAAACGAAATGCGCTTGCGTACTGGCAAATAAAAATGATAAAACAGTAGCACAATTAATTGACAAATTGGCGAAGGGAATAACTTTCTGAAAAATATTAAAGTTATATCAAGAAACGCATATGTACAGACATAAACGTATCGGATGTTAGAGGAACGCACACCATATTAGCATCAGGTGTGTATGCACGTACACGTGCGTGCCTACATAAACAGGACGTTATTTAACAAAAGTAAAATTGCGTTATAATAAAGACAGGCAAAGGGGACATAACTCAGTCATTATATCAAAGAAAGGAAAAAAGACATCCTGTCAGACATTAGTTGTCTGTGCCGTATTTATAATTTTTATACTTTTCTTCACAAAATACAAGAACCAAGAGCCACTCAAGGTAGAGTGTTACTCAGCTTCTTGTAAATGGGTAAGGAATGAGAAAGCAGGAAACGTATATTGTTAAGATATGCAGGATATTGTTTGAGCCTAAACTTGAAGAGTTTAAGAATTCAGTTTTCGGGGAAATTGGTAAAAATCCCAAATGGCATTAAATGTCTGTTATATGCACGTCAATACGTTTCTGCTACTCTCGCAATAAATTTTGCTGAGTGTTGGTTGGTTGACTTTGATATAGAGGGCCTCGAATATTTGAAGTTTTTGTTTATTATTTTCGTGGTTTGGTATATTGGTGTTGTTGACAAGTATTTTCCAGTGTTGTGAAGGTGGACAGGATGGTCAATAGAACTTGTATCCGGCGAATAAAGTGACAAACATCTTGATAATGTTGTGGTCATCAAACCAACATATGTACTTAATTTTTGTCAGACGGACATTTAAACAAATTTGGTCTTTTCCAAAACACTAGTTGACGGCGAAGTGTTATTGTCTATGATTAAGTTGATTGGGTTTAATTTAGTATAATATATAATTAGTTTTATTTTTTTATTGGGATCAGCGGAGCATATATTAGTACTTATGAGATATTTTATGACCATTTCCATTTTCTTTATCGTTAGAATGATCTGATTATGCTATAGTAGGTTTATCTGTTTTGGGTTATTTGAGGATGTCGTACGTCTTTTTTTATTTATGTGAATGTTCCTAATGATTTAATTAGGAATGTAATTATTAGTGATAGCTTGTTTTTTAATGGAGAAGAGATGTAAATAATATATATATATTTTTCTTTTTGAATTTGTACGTCTGATGAATTGGATCGTATTTACGATTCCAATGGAATAAATTATGACCATGGAATATTAGTGTTTAAGCCTTTTTATTATATATATATATATATATATATATATATATATATATATATATATATATATATATATAATTATTTATTTAAAAATATTTATTTTTAAATAAATAATTATATTTATGCTCTACTTTTGTGACGAGCACTATTTTTTATTTATTGTTTATTTATTTTTTAAATAAATAATTATATTTATGCTCTACTTTTGTATCGAGCACTATTTTTAAAAAAATTATTTTAAATGCTAAGGAACTTTGGATTATTTACCTAACCAGTTCCTTCCTGTTTTCTATATATTTTCACACACACGCACACACGCACACACACACACACACACACACACACACACATATATATATATATATATATATATATATATATATATATATATACGGCATCTCTTCAAGATTTAACTTCAAGACATATTTATCTAGAGATTTTTTTGTTGATTTTCTAAATGTTGGTTAGTTCCTATCTTTTATTAGTTCGCTGTTAATAACTCAAACGGTTCCTTTGTTTCATTTGTTAAACTTTGCCATTTACGAAAATATCTTTGCACTCCTTTTCACGTTATACGAACAATCAGACATCCGGTGTTCCTCTAGAAAAAGTCTGCCTATGCTTTTTTGACCTTTTAACACCTTATTGAAGTATTTGCATTTTCCGTTTCTTTTTTTGTTAACTTGGTTCGTTTGGGAAATATTTAATTTCTTTTCTTTTTTTCTTTTTTTTTTCTTTTTTTGCGACATTTTTTATCAACTTCGGAGCAACATTTACTTCATTTGAGATAATCGGATTTTTATTTTCTTTTTAATTATTATTAAAATTTATTCACTTGTATTCTCGCTAAACTCCTGGGACGAGGCAGATTTAGCTCGGAGATTACAGTCGTGAATCGCATGACGAAAACCCAGCCCTTATTTCAAGGTTTTAAACAGTAGTAAACAAAATAATCTACAACAAGGTATGTTTTATTCTTCTTTATGCGCCGTATCCCACTAGGATGTTGGTGACCATGGCTCTCCACAATTAACGGTCCTTTGTCGGTCTTAATAACTTTTGTCCTATTACTATCTCCTTTAAACCTTGCTCCGCCATACATTCGCTCAAACTGGCCAGGTAGGTTGTGCGTTGCTTTCCTTTGGCCCACTTACGTTCAATCTCTCCTGTGAGTATTAAATATTCCAAACCTTCTTTCCTTATTATATTCGCCAGAAAATTCAACTGTCTCTTCCTGATATGGAGTATAAGTGTACTTTTTGTTGTCATAGTCTCTCGAGACAAAATTTATTAAAAGCTACAAAGAGCAGGAAATTGTGGGGAGCCATTATTGCCAACAACCTGAAGAGACACGGCACATGGAAAAGGTAAATATTTTTCATCTGAGCGTCATGTAGTCTTCTTCTTCTTCTTCTTCTTCTTCTTCTTGGAAAACAAAACAAAGCTGCTGACAAAAACGAAATGCGCTTGCGTACTGGCAAATAAAAATGATAAAACAGTAGCACAATTAATTGACAAATTGGCGAAGGGAATAACTTTCTGAAAAATATTAAAGTTATATCAAGAAACGCATATGTACAGACATAAACGTATCGGATGTTAGAGGAACGCACATCATATTAGCATCAAGTGTGTATGCACGTACACGTGCGGGCCTACATAAACAGGAAAACAGTAAAATTGCGTTATAATAAAGACTGGCAAAGGGGACATAACTCAGTCATTATATCAAAGAAAGGAAAAGAAAGACATCTACTCGGACATTAGTTGTCTCTGCCATATTTATAATTTTTATACTTTTCTTCACAAAATACAAGAACTAAAAGCCACTCTTCTTCTTCTTCTTCTTCTTCTTCTTCTTCTTCTTCTTCTTGTCTTCAAGTTGTAACCACAATTTTCTGTTCTTCACTAAATATGTTATACATGGTTTTCCTTTGTCCCTTGTTGGGATATTATTATTATTTTATAAAAAAATAAAATATAAGATAATAATAATGAAAATTATGAATAAAAACAATAACATAAAAAACGTTTTATAAAATGTTTATAAACTAAATAAAACATAAAAATAAAAGAATGCTCCCAGCATGCAACAAAAACTGTTCCTTCCGGAAATACGGACATCCCAACAAAAGTCGTTAAATTCAATCTCTTCGCTACGAACAACACATATGCAACTTCTCTCTGTGATATGACTTGTAATACTAGGGAGTAATTTCTCCCTTTGATGACATGTTCCATAAAACAAATGTAACCTAAAAATACTCATACCAATACATACAAAAATATGAATAATTTGTATGAAATTAACATACAGTTTACAATGCTTTTCCTATTAATTCTGTACGTTTTATTTCCTGTCAGGTATGCTTTTATCTCTGTGAACACCAGGCTAAATTCTGCTGCTATGATGTGAGTGAACCCTCCCAGATCATTTTGGTAATCACCAACCTATATAAGAAAAACAATCTATTTACTCACACCTTCTTGCCTTCAGTTTGACCTGTAAGCATCAGATTTTTCAAAAAGGGCTTGCAAATTACTGAAAAATCGGACATTAGTAGATTGTTTTGCTGTTCATGAGTTGTTTAGTTGGTAGGTTTTGTTTCTCTGTGGGTTATTTAATGCCGAAATTTAAATATCTTGAAAGCAGTTTTATTCCTAGACATGCAAATATATTGTATTGTTGGTAATTCTCCTATAAAATGTATTGCTGGTCATTTTGCTTTAAAAATGCATTTCTGATCATTTTATTACAAATATGTATTGTCGGTAATTTTAATATAAATTGGTATATTTATACTTTCATAGTGTGCTGTTTTGTGGGTTGGGGAGTTCAATATTTGCCCAGAGCTGGGATCCTAACAGGTTCTACCACCCCGGCTCAGAATCTGACCTGAGAACAACATCAATTACGAGGTGGTTCCACGCTTTTCAAAACATTCAATCTCCTGATTAGAATTCTTGCTATCTGATGTTGTTAGGATTTGCTTTCCGCTTCTTTTCAATGTCTATTTCAACTCTAATACCCCTAACGTCACCGCCTAATCTCTGAAATTTTATTCATTATTCATAATCGCAAGAACTTTACTTCTTGTCCTTACTTACGCTAATATAACACTACACAGTTACCCTCTACTTGTGTAGCTCTTGGGACTTGTACTGAGAGATCATTAGTAATTTTAGTTTAAAAAAGTTGGTGTCAATAGATCACTGTAAAAGAAGAGAACTAATTCATTATTTTTGTAACAACTTTTGTTCAAGAAGCTGGGAAAATTTTTCAACAAGCCTGTACTTAATTATAATGGGAAAATGACTTCTTAGCACATATTGCATAATTACACACTAATTACATGCGTCTAATGACACACGCAGAAAATAATGTCAGTATAACAATGTTGCAAAGTAGTTTTCACAGTGGTCCTAAAAAGGTTCGACGTACAAAACGTTAGGAACTTGAAATAATAGTTAATGACGCAGCAATCTAGTTGTGGTGGTTGATACTTTAATGTCCGACATCGACTGACTCACCAACTCACTGAGCGATATTTAGTCCCCCCCCCCACGAGGGCGTCATGTGGCACAAGGCCGGTTTAACGTGGGATCTCCGAGCCCGTGGGCTCGGCCAAAAATATGCCCATTGAACCCGTATAAACGGGTTCAGGGTCGGTTTACCTCCCCGAAAGAGACTCCGCACTTCGGCGTAGCCTCGTTCGGGTTCCTCCCCGCCCGAAGGCAGAGAGTTTAACCGGTCAGCCGGTCGTCCGACTTCAAACTGATATCAGACCAACTCACTGTGCTCCCTGACCACTTCTACTACTACTACTTATTATATGTGGGGAAGTCTGTTAACAATAGAATAGACATGTTCTGGTATAACAAACAGCTGAGCTTACACCTCTAGCTGAAGAGTATCATATTATAATTGTTCTTGTGTTTGCCTTCTCTAGTTAGTTTTAGCATGTAATATACACCCTGTCAATACCTAATACACAATGAACTATTCCATTTTAATAGGGGAGGCGGGAAGGAGCTATCAGAGACGCGTTTTGGCTCCAATCAAGAAAATAAAGAAAGGAAGAAACATTGAGAAAATAGATGTGGCGATAACGTTCTCATGTGTTTGACGTCTGCTTCGGTGAAATGGCATAAGTTATCAATTTTAAATATTTTAATTCATACTTTCTTCATTCGAGGACATATGGGAATTTTTACGGATATTTTAAAGTCATTCAACTTGCAAGGTGCATATTAAATCATTAAGCTAAGAATCATGATTCATCAGGAAACTCTAATAGCAATGCTATGATATTTGTACAGGCAGGGCGAGTAAGCATTAATTCATGTAATAATACATACAAAATGGCACGGAGAACGCTTGCTAAATAGATTTCTTTCACTCAGCTCAGTCCCACCACACAACACTCCCTGCCAGCTGGGAGGTCACCTCGCAACACCAGCCAGGGGAGTGATGTCTCGACGTAACCGAGGCATTTCAAACCGGGCGTCTAGCTTCGTAGAAAGCGAAACACATTTCGTTCTTCTCGAAAGACACCACTAAGACATGATATAACGCCTTCATTAACAGTGATAGTGAGTCAGAGAAGCTACGCTTCGTCAGTACGAATACCTCAAATCGTTAAGGCTCTCTAGATAAAAAAAATAAACACTCACTTCGGGGAATAGGATGGGCCCGTCCACACAAAAATACACATTTCTCCAACTTTAAAAAGGCTTTGTTGCCTTATCCTGTCCAGAATTACCCTTTTTCATCTTATTGTTTACACATTTGAACTTTTTTTTTATAGTAAGGTTCATCTTGTAAAAGGTCCGGGACCCACTCGTGATAGAGGGCAAAGTTAAGGGGCAGTTCATAAGGAAAGCACTATCATGGGAGTTTATTTCGCAAATAGCAGTTCTTGGAAAAAAATGTGAGAGGAAGTTTCTTCTTTTCATTGGGATGCAGAGGTAATGCGGGTGATTCGACTTCGTTGGGGCTTCATGGCCTGATCTATCTGTAAAGCACAGAACTGGTTGAACTAAAGAATAGATAGTTATTTTCCAAGCATAGCTTAGATGTGGCCCAAGGCCAAATACTAAAGAATAGATATCCTCTGAACATTTGCTATGGAAATAGAGATACGGAAGACAACGCGTCTGTGGGAAAGGCGCTGCAGAATGGATGATAACCTTTGGCTCTCAAGACCGCTGTAAAAGATATTCAACTTAACAAAGGCTGGGAAGTAAGAATTCGGTATCTCTTATAATCTTTTACTTTTACTATGTCCCTTGACCGTTCAAGTCGTGGGTAATCAAGGTTATCCATAATTTCGTGTTTCTTGTAGCTCTTAGTAATTTTTTTTTACTTTCATCCTAATCCCTGTTCTGACAACCATTTGCACAAGCTGCTTAGGTAGCTCTGCGCAGCTTCAAATTTCAAGCCCTATTTCCTCATTATGTGCCCCAGAAATGTCAACTCCCTCATTGTAAGGCCAAGTATAAGTGTTTTAATTATTGCTCACATGCCCAATTTCTGGTATTCTCAGCATCCTTCTGTATAACAACGTAGCTGTTACTTTCAAGATCCTTCTTCATCCGTGATGAGATTTTCTAGCACGCACTGACATATAGGAAGACCCTATATTGCATAACAGATCAGTAATCTTTGAATATCGAAAGGGAACTTAAAGAAGCTTTAAGAAAACCGATAGCTTTTACATCTATAAGCGTTTTCCTATTTCTTCCTCATCTCATTATATATATATATATATATATATATATATATATATATTTGGTTGGATTGATGTGAGTTTGTGACCCTGGGTTTCACGCTTTTGCGATCGTCAGACAAACTGATTAATTTTTTAAAAATTTGGGTTTATGTAGATTGCGTGTATTGGTGTTATTATGGGAGTGGGAGGAATCGTCGTCGTGATGTCATCGTGCAAACGCAAACATAGATGCATGTCCGTACATCAGATGAGGTACGCAGACACACATACACACTTGGTCGTCCGTCGGGACTCATACGTATATAAACATATGTGGACAGTTTCGGATTTGCCATATGTATGTATACAGGTGGTGTTGTGTCTATACATACGCATTTGTATGTTGAAATTCAAAGATTGGAAGTGTAGCGAAAATTTCTCGTGAATGTATACATGCCAAAAATCAGAGCATTTATCTTTTTTTTTCACTGAATAAAATTTCCTCGCATGTATGTATATACGTGTGGTGGGTGGGTTGTATGAAATTATGATAGGTAAAAATTATTATTATTTTTAGTTTTAACTTTTAAAAAAAGGGTTTATTTGGTATTATTTTAAAGTTGGTTATTTGCTTGATTTTGATGACTGTATATGTAACTGGTAGAACTTTCGGTTTGTAATCCTTATTGGTTATTTTATTTGGTGGTATTTAATATGCTGGGGGAGGGGGTGTTTACGTTAATAATTATAGCGGGTCTATATGATAATAGTAGATGTGATGTTAGCTCTATCTCTGATATTGAGCGCTTTCTAATAAGTACCGCGCATATAATATATAAATAATCATATATATATATATATATATATATATATATATATTTATTTATATTTATATACACACATTTTCACACACACACACACACACATATATATATATATATATTAGCTTTTACATCTATAAACGTTTTCCTATTTGTTCCTCATCTCATTATATATATATATATATATATATATATATATATATATATATATATATATATATATATATATAATAATGTTAATTGCAATAATTTTATTGATTTATTCTTTGAATGACAATTTTACAATATTAATTAATCTGCATTATTTAATAATTTTAAAAATAAGGTTCGATCTCCAGTAAAAAAAAAAAAA